GCCGTGAGAGGAAGAGAAAAGAGGGCCAACACAAATACAATGTTGAAATTAAGGAAACCATTCACAAAGTAGTAATGCCAGGGCTCTGTGCCTTTAAGAAAGAAAAAAACATTGTAATGAAAAAGTACTTTCCTGTAAACAATTTTAGTTTATTTTTAATATGAGTCAATATTCTTTTCTAAATGTATATACAAATGATTTGAAGTTTACCATAAAGATCGGGCCCATGAGGAGTGAACATGTTGTATAGTATTATATTCAGAGGAGCAATCACCAGCTTTCCATAGTAGTAGCTGTCTACTACAACAACAGGGACCTACAGAAACATGTAACGATAAGTGTTATCATATCAGTATAATACACCGAACTTGGATATTTTTTAATTTTAAAATTCCATTTTGTTATTGATGGAATCTCAGGGTCTCAAGTCAGATAAAAAAGACACAAAAACAATTCCGTATCCACAGAAATCAATGAGTTTCCCAACCAGAAAGAGGAGCAACGCCACCAGAGTCCACGTGATAAAACTCTTCCACTTCTTCTTCAGAAACAGCAGGTCAAAGGCAATGGGTATGCTGCAACAACAATCAGTAAAAAAAGCCTAAATTCACATAGTTGGCTGATCAGGATTATTTCTATGGCTTTTCACCAAATCCGAGTAAATATTGACTTTGTTGAGTAAATGAAACATAGTAACTAGCCATATTCATTTATAAAGGAACTACAGTATAATAAACTACAAGACCTACAGTCTTACAACCACTTTTTTATTATTATTTTTGGAGGCTTTTTGCTTTTTATTGGAGGGAAGTATAGAGTAGACTGGATAGCAGTGGTGGGAAAGAAGAAGTGGGATGAGGACATGACCCTGGTCGCAGTCAAACCTGGATCATCTACCTGCTGCTGAACATGTAAATATTCACAATTCTGATCAGTGGAAAAAGACCCATGTTTGAATAGGTAACTGATTAAGTCCTATCATAAAACTGCAGACTTAAAAGTTACATTAGGTGAAACGGTAAAAGGAAGCATCTAGCAAAAGTTTTTTTTTTTTTTTAAAGTCTTATGCTCACCAAGGCTGCAATTATTTAATCAGTACATACAGTAATATTGTGAAATATTATTATAATTTAAAATATGGTTTCTATTTTAATATATTTTTTAAACGTCATTTATTCCTGTGATGCAAGGCTGAATTACTCCAGTCTTCAGTGTCACATGATCCTTCAGAAATC